TTTTTTTTTTTTTTTTTTTTTTTTGCCATTTTTGTTGTTTGCTTTTATAAAGGAACACAAGAGAAGAAAAAAAAAGAAACACTTCAAAGCAATTTGTGATTGAGGCGGTACATGGATCTTACTGACACTTGTTAAATGATTTGCACGCATTGCAAACTCAGCAAGCAAGTGACATTGTCTATGAAAACATAAGGACAGAGAGTAATAGCCACATGTAACTCTCATCACCATTTCATCTGTCCACAAACAGAAGGTGACAACAAAAAGGCAACATACAGTACATAACGAGCCTCGGACTGTCGTGTAGACTCACATAATAACAATGATACATAGCAGTTGTAGGTGCGTTGGTGTTATGAGACAGAAAGGGTTAGAGTAAGTGCATTACATCGATGTAAAATACTGATTAGGCCTGATCCTCGCACTGCTTTTCCAGAGCAACTTAAATGAGTTACTGTTTATGTGTAGTGACACAGCATTGTTTATATAGTTTATAGAAACTATAGTAAATCAGTCAAACATTATACATTCATTCTAATTGCAAAGCTCAATATTTGGCACAATCCTCCTGTACATTGACATTCCTCCATCAGGGTGTAAGGTAGTTGTAATTCAGTGTAACAAGTGTTTGGGCGGCATAAGTTAGATCGGAAATTCAGTCTGAGCTGAGATATGTGAAGGCACAGAGACAGTAATATAAGCACCAAGTTTTCATAGTTAAATCACAACAGTTTAGCCCGGACCTCTGTATCTTTTGTCTACTGCAATCACTGAATAAAGACTTTGTACACTTCATAGTATGTCTTTTTTGTTCATGACTTGGAACAACTCAAAATTATTGCATGCCATTATGCCATTCATTGGACCAATATGCAAAATAGCCTGTTCAGTGTTAACCAGAATGTCACTGCACCTATTTAATTTCTTTTTTGTTCTGTTTCCCATGTCACATTCATCACCTGTTTCATAGCTTGTTCCCTTACTTTGCAAAGGCCTCATCAGAGTGTTGTCAAGTAAACCTATTGTCTGATTCTCTCAAAGGAGGCTAAAATATTCAAAATTCTTGTTAAACATTAACAGGACTGTAAGCACTTCCTCAGGATTTGTAACTTTTTTCAAGTTTATTATTATCTTTGCTGATGTGTTCGTGACCTGAATGCTAAGGGCACAATGTGATACAGCTAAACACACATATTGACACAGTCATAGAAGGGTACACCTACAAGAACATACAAGCACATACATACACAAAGTGTATCTTTAATGCTTCATCCAACAGAATTGTGTAAATACACAGTGCTCACCTCTGACCTGCCACCTCTCCCAGAAATCTGGCAGGGGTTTGTTAAATGTTACACAACCTGTATTTCACAACCTGTGGGCCTCAGTCAGTCCCTTTACTTATTCATGGAGTAAATGCAAATCGATTCTCATTTCCAGCTGTACACTTTGATGTTACTTGGTTCTGAAACATCTTGTCGCTGTAGCCACAGATGTTCCATTAAGCTAAACAATAATCCAGCTATTTTTTGACACACTGAGTTTGGAAATGAATAGAAAGTCATTTCATTCAGAGCAACAAATGATTCAAAATTGCTCTCATTTGCCCAGCAGCAATCACAAGTCACATAGAAACTGCACTGACAGAAGAAGTGGGTGTATTGTATTTGTTGTCCATTGTCACCTTGTTTTCTATAAGCAGAATTGTGTTTTCAGCATCTTCACAGATTTTGCAGCATATGGTTAGAATGGGGCTTTTCAAGGATGGCAGTGCAGACTGTTTACTTGGAATGACTTATTAATAGGTAGTATACCATTAGAAATAAGTGATGTCATGTCCGGAGCATGAGAAGAGGATGCCTGCAACATGGTGATGGGATTTGCAGTGCAAATGGGAAACAGTCAGATCGATACAAGGAAACAGGCCATCGATCCAGCTATACATGTGTACTTGCTGTCCATTTGCAGTTTCTTTCTGTATCTATTCTATGGCATGTAAACATTGACTGTATGCATACGTATAATTTTCAATTGTCCTGAAAGTAAAAAAAAAAAAAAAAAAAGGCTCTGTCCTTGCGTGATGATGTTGATCCTCTTTAAAAGGGCAATTTAAATGTGACAATTCTAATACTGTGAGGTCATATTTATTGGATTGTATTTGTTTAAAGTTCAGTAAATTACAAGTAAGACAAGGGACCATAATTGTAAAAGGTTGGCTACTAGACACAGAAAGAAACAGAAAAAAAGCACCCAACATGTTCTTATGTCAACATACTGTCAAAATATATATCTCACTCTAAAAACAACTATTTAATCCCATTAATAGGTTTAATGTAGCAAATGTTTAGAGTACCAAAAAGGTCAAACAAAAGAAAAGTGAAAAGTAATGGTATTACAGCACCAAATGCCTTGTTTCTCTATTGTATGTCTATATATTCCATGCTGTGTTGTTGCTCTTTATGTCAGTATTGCTATTCATGGTTTAAATAACACGCAAGGGGGACGTGACTGCAGGAAGGGAACCAACCACCACCCCAGGGTTTGGTGATGTCGTCCTTATGTCAGAGCATGTGGGCAGGATGTGCAGTCACATGGGAAGGTCTGTTACTAGCACATTACAAAGTAAGGCACTTAATAGTCTGAATCCAATAAACAATAACAACAATGATGACGAGGACCAAATAATAACAATAAAATTATGACAATATAATAATTAAAATAATATAAGCTAAAAAACACCAACATAAAATACAACCCAAAACACACATTGAAGGACATTGAAATAAAGAAGACAGTATGAAATTCCTTCCCCTGCCTTTTAAAACTCTCCATATTTCATTCACAAAGTTTTTTTTTCTTTCGCTGATGTTGCTGAGGGCAAGACATATAAAGATGATGGCAATGATATTGAGAAATTGATGGGTTTTGTGTTTCTATTGAGAATACAGGTATTTAAGGTTAAGGGCTGCTTTGAGGTGCCAATACAGGAACATGTTGTAAGGAAAGGACCGGGTTATGTGGGACAGAGCAGGAATCCTGAGAAGGAGGAGTGAATGTACTCGGTAGAATAGAGGCCATTTGCCTGATCCGAGGGCATCTGGACCCATACCTGGTCACCCTCCTTCAGCTCTAGGACAGCACTACCAGATGCCTGGTCCATGTAGCCTTTCTTGTATTCATCATACGTGTAAGTGGCTGGTACATTGTTCTTGTACAGTGCCACCCACAGGCTAGTTCCCTTTACATGCATGTGATACGCAAAGTAGTAGACACCAGATAAAGGAGCAGTGAACATGCCAGTAGAAGAGCTGTAGGCATTTTGCCCGTTGTACAGGGTCCTGTCAAATTTGATTGGCATGCCAGAGGGAGGGAAAGGTGTGGTGAGAATGGCTGTGAAGGCTGGTGCCACAGAGGCAGAGAGAGCAACCTGAGTATAGGCAGGCCCCTTCCTGTCCCCTGGTACTTCATCCCCCTCCAAATCTGCACCTGTACGCCCTGCAACAACTGTTTGGCCATTTCCTGAAGGCCCAGGTGGTCCTGGTGGCCCAGGAGGGCCAGGGTTGCCATTAAGCCCAGAAGGCCCTGGTTTCCCTGGAGGTCCTTGGGGACCTATAGCTCCCTTCTCACCAAACTTACCAAGCCCCGGAGGCCCTGGAAGTCCGGGTTCACCCTTTGGGCCAGGAACACCCTGTGGGCCCATAGGCCCCATGGGTCCTTGAAGACCAGGAATTCCTGACTGGCCCCTGGGGCCCGGAGTCCCTATAAACCCTGACTCCCCTTTAGGCCCTGGAGCACCTGTCAACCCTGGATTCCCAGGTAGGCCAATATGCCCTGCCTCACCTTTGGCACCAGGTTTTCCAATAGGGCCATTTGGCCCTGGGATGCCTTTGTCTCCTGGGATGCCAGCTTTTCCAGAGGGTCCGCTAGGGCCTTGGTCACCTCTAAGGCCAGGCAGTCCTGGAGGGCCCTGAGGCCCCAGCTCTCCCTTCTGCCCTGGCATTCCGTGTTTTCCTGGGAGTCCCATTGGGCCTTGAAGTCCTGGTGGTCCTGGTTGTCCATCAAGACCTGGCTCTCCAAATGGACCCACCATTCCTTGCTCTCCTTTGTCCCCTGGTAGACCAGGAAATCCAGCATGACCCTTGTCTCCCTTTGGACCACCCAGCCCAGGTTTTCCATAGCCAGGAGTCCCAGGAATTCCAGGATTACCCCTGGGCCCTGGCTCCCCTTTTGGACCTAATGGACCTGGTTGTCCTGGAACTCCATCTAATCCAGGTTTCCCTAACCCAACTGGCCCTGGCAGACCTTGTAGACCAGGGGCCCCAGCCTCTCCTGGTTGTCCTCGATCCCCTGGGAGTCCATGATCACCTTTAAGACCAGGAAGTCCAGGCAAACCTTTTAGTCCTGGTTTTCCTATACCTGGAAGACCAGGTGGTCCTGAACTGCCTTTGAGTCCAGGAGGACCCCTTATACCTGGTACCCCTGGTTTCCCATTTCCATTCTCACCCTGAAGTCCACGCTCACCTGGTGGGCCAGAAATACCCTTTAGTCCTGGCTCACCACGAGTCCCAGGAGGGCCTCTGATACCTGGAAGACCAGGTTTCCCATTCAGAGACAGACCAGCTGGCCCAGGGAGGCCGGGCTGTCCAGGAGGACCACGGGGACCTGGTTCACCACGAGGGCCAACCTCGCCATTAAGTCCTGGCATACCCTTTGGCCCAAGCTTTCCTGGGAGACCTGGAAGTCCAGGCTTACCAATCCCTGGAAAACCAGATGGTCCTTGAGGTCCTGGCTGACCATTGAGACCCGGCTTCCCAAGTCCAGGTTTTCCTGGAAGTCCTGGTGGCCCAGGGGGCCCTCTTTGTCCAGGTTTCCCTTGGGGGCCTGGTTCCCCTTTGACTTCCATCATTGGTGGCATATCTAAAAAAAATAAAAAAATAAAAAAAGAAAGAAAAAATGTGATAAAGCTCTTTGTATAATAATGTATACGAGCTGTTTTAATTCCTGGATTTTGAAGACATTTAAAAACAATTAAAGATGCATTTCTATTATCATTGCTAGCATTGCCTCTGAGTTATCATCAGCTGAGTGATTTGCACACATTACATCTTGAAAGGAATAGCAGAGAAATGTGTATAGTGCTGTGTAGACTTGACATAGTGCCTGCCATTTCTGAACCAGTAAAAGTTGCTTGGTGTATTCATTAAGTTAGTCACCAAAGTACTATCCAAAAATTTTAATTGTTGTAGATAAAATGTTTGTAATTCTTAATTGTCATTTTTTGAAAACATGATGAACAAATTATGTGTTGGAACAATATTGTCATTGTCAGTATAGAGAGAGTGAATGTAACATCTTCAAAGGCACTACAAGAGAAGACACAAATACACCTGGTGGTGTCTAGGTGTATTCCCAATGTAAAGAACAAAATACTATGAGGGAAGCAATGTAAGCAACAAGAAATATCTGACTTTACCACGTTGCTACACGGAGAAAAGAAAATTCAATCTTTATCAAATTCAATCTTGGTAATTATGGATTGTATTTATAAATACAATGTCAGAAGGCACACAGCCAATTGAGGATGTAAAAACATAGGAAAAAGACTATCGTGATATTTTTAAATCTTGGTTGCTTGTTTTTATAGCTTAGTATGAGTTCAGAGATAAAGACGTGTTAAGCTAATCAAAGTCATCCAAAGGGATTGTTTGACTCCTTGGAAAATGTACCCCTTGATTTTTTACCCTTTTCACATGCTCAAAGCTGTAGGTGGCCACAGATTATGAAAGCACAGATTGACTGAAAGGCAGGTCCCTGGTCTGTTCAGTGTTTTATATGTTTCTCAGGACTGGATCAAAATTTTCTGTTTTTCTAACTGACTGATTTGGCAGCCCTATTAGGTTTGAGATGTTTTGAATGTGTAATACAGAGGAAAACAGACTGCAAAGTGTACTGCACACCATAAACTGTCTCATTATTCTGTCACAGCACAGTGGGGAATAACAACCAGGCTGGAAGGCCAGTCACACAAGCTTGGTCTGCAGTCTGCAGGAACTTATTGCCAGGATGAAATGGTTGGTTGTTCCACTGCCTCATCTCAGCAAAACACAGCGTCCGTAAATTACTGTTGGCTAGAGGACATCTCAACTGGTGTTTTTTGGATAATCTTACATACATGACAAGTATCCCTATTTCAAAGGGTGTTGTGTTCAAACAGTTGAACCTCCATCAGAAAAAAATGTAATTTATCATGGAGCAATCATTACTTTAGACTTCCTGCCCTGTTTCTAATTAAGTTATGGAGACAATTCAAGCTAGTTGTCTCTTTTAGCTGACTGATTAATTTCTCCTCATCGTTGCACCACATCCAGTGAAAACACAATATGATACATTGCCTCCAAAACCTGGTCTCTGCCCCTGCAGCCACAGGATGTGATAGGGAAACAACTACAGAAAAATTCCCTTTCCTTGCAACTTTTACTTCTACCATGGGTCATTACTTCCCCCTGCTGGTGGATCATAAGACGTGCAGCCCCATAGTTGAAAAGAAATATGATGCAGCGAAAAGCTTAATAATGTTAAACAGCATTTGGGTTTAAGTGGTACACATTTATTATAATAATATACTATATATATATATTTTATTTATGCTACAGCAGTCAGGTATGAATGTATTTAAAGACATGAGGGATCATGGCTCTGAAGTATATCAAATCCAGGTACAACTACAAAACAACCCTTCTTCCTGTCATTAATGCTAATGTAACTAACAACTTCATTGCTAAAATGAGGACAAAACAAGCAAGCAGCACAAGAAAAGTTTAACAAGTTCCATCCATCCATTATCCATACACCGCTTAATCCTCACTAGGGTCGCAGGGGGCTGGAGTCTATCCCAGCTGACTTAGGGCGAAGGCAGGGGACACCCAGGACAGGTCACCAGTCTATCACAGGGCTACACTTAGAGACAGACAACCAAGCACACCTACGGACAACCTAGAATCACCAATTAACCTCAACATGTTTTTGGACTGTGTGGGAGAACCCGGAGAGAACCCACACTGCAAGGGGAGAACATGCAGACTCCATGCAGAAAGATCCCGGGTGTCCTAACTGGGACTCGAACCGGCGACCTTTTCGCTGCGAGGCAACGGTGCTAATCACGCTCCACCTTGTAGGCCTTAAAGAAACCAGAACATTCATTATGCTCATTTTAAAGAGGAAATACCACAGATGTTTAAAACTGGTTAGATAATATGTCCACGACTACATCTACTTTATGCACCCCTAGTGGTTACCCTCAGTTTTAGTCTTATATCTCATCATGCAACTCCACTACAGACGATTTACAAATATAATCAACATTGGGCAAATTACAACTTCACACCTGAGAGCCAACAATGGTGTCTTGGTGTTTGGCTGCAGTGTTCTCTAGGACTTAAAGATTTAAGTTGTGCTTTCAAATACATTAAATTGATGAGCTGAAGTATTTATAGAGATCTGCTCTTCCAAGTGTGGTCACAATTCCAAGGTACTGAAACCTGTCAATCTTGCCCACATAAAAGAAACAAGTATTACCCAACAGGTTATTTCAGATGGGCTTTAGTCTGAAAAACAATTTCACTTGTGATGCAATGTCAACATGTGACCACTGAGTGGCAGTATCATCATTGTAGTCAATGGAAACCACACAGACTCATGTCACTCTTCCAATACTTAACATGCACTCCTACAACACTCAGATTTAAATTCTACACTCGAACACTACATTTTCTCGGATTCCATGTTATAGACTAATACTGTGTCAAATGCCTGTTAATGCCATCAAAGCCTTTTTTCTTCAACATTTGCTTTGAAAAAGGGCCCTCTCATAGGCACATCTCATATGGTGCAGAACTTACAGTACCTAGTGTACCTAGTTAAATATATGTCTGATTATGATGGAAATGACAAAATGTTCATTTTCAGCCCTTGTCTTTCTCAGTGCCCTTCCGAGACGTTTATTGAATCTATTCTGATGTCTTTTACACATTCTCCTGAGGAATGGGATGAATAAAGTTTTAAACAGTGGGGTAACAGCATTCATACGGTAAGAGGAGCAACTGCCCTGAGGAGTTAGTGACATCAGCAAACAGTGGGCATACAGGTCTCCATTAGACTCAAACTGAGGATCTGCCAAATGTTGGGTACGGGTGTCTGTCTGTGTGAGACGTGGTTAAACATTATTCATTCTGTGTTAAAGTAACTGTTGCTGACTGACATGCAAGTGAGAGTTGACGCAGTTGTCTGCAGACTTGCTCAACTCTCTGAACCCCAGCTAGTTTCTGAGATGGTACAGCAACACATTTCTAGAATTTTGTCTGATACGGCTTGACCCTTCTGGAAAAAAATTGTGGGTCCACAAACTACAGGGATTTTACTCCTTGCATTTTTGATTTGTTTCCATGCTTGTCTCGGTGCACTGTCTGCAGTTCAACCTAGTTCAGTTACAGTTTAAATTCAACAAGTGGAATAAAGTGATTGTGATGAAATATATGACGATTTTAAGCTCAGATTTGATCAATTTTCTGGATGGAATCACACGTAACACATTAGTTCACGTACAGAAGGAAAGTTGAAAAAAATCTTTGTTTTCACAGTTTCAATCTTCGATAAATTGGGACATTTTAGCAACTTTTTAAAGATAACATGCTTTTCAAACCAGTCAGCGGGTTTTGGGGTTCACACGGCTAACAGCTTTCACAGAGCAGACATGAAAGTAACACATATATCACACCCACAGGGGCTACTTACCGACGTAATGTCCCTTGCCCTCTCGAAATGGAGGTCCAATAGGCCCTTTCATCATGGGCTGCATGTACTTCATGTGTGGTATGGGGGGATAGCCTCCAGCAAGAGCACGCCCCCCAAGCATCAGTAGCACACAGACAGGAGCCAACAGCATGGTCACTAGCATCCCAGGCTTTAGGTGTCACCTACAAAGAACTGGAGGTGACAGAAAAAGAGAACAGTTAACATGGACTTTAGTGACTTCTAGACACACACTGATAATGGGCAATATCATGCAGTGATATTAAATCTCCTATGTGAAGATTTGCTCTCATTTTTTTCTCTGTAACATCTACAAGTCCAAGACAGCTATAACTGTATGTCCTGCTAAGCACAGATTTGTTAAAGCCAGACACCATCTGCAGCACTGGTAGCATATAAATAGGAATACTTTACATGCTACATTTGTTTATATATATTTATAATAAGCTTGCTGCTTATCTATGTTCAGCTGCTGCACGGGTACTGTATGTGGTTAGCACTTGGCCTGGGCAGTGTTTGGTCTAGATGGCCCTTAGTAACTGTGACAGAAATTTCTGTTGACTTTAATTTACTTCGGGAAGAAATGACCACATTGCCCTCCGCCAAATATTTTCACAACCGTGGTCAGGTGCGAACAGGAAACCACCAGAGGACAGTTAGTGTGTTTGTGTATCGCAAGTGAGCAACTGTAGACGTCCAAGACTGGCTTTAACCAGGGAAATGATGTGTGAACATGGCATACATTTCCACTCCAACTTTCCCCTGAGCTGTTTTGGTCAGCTTTCTTCAGACAGACGACTGTCAGGCTTTACTTTGTGATGATGTGGGATGCAAAACGTAATTTCAGGCTCAGGCTGCTCGCTTTTAAGTGCCAACCATGTCACAGTTTTAGTTAGCACGGAAATTCTGCAAGGATAGGAGAAATGATCGCATAGCCATGAAAAACTATATGCCCCAAGTGCCCCAAAGATGGGCGACGATTAGTGGGAACAACAAACAAACCAAATGAGATATATGTGAAATATATTTCCCGCTGTGGCAGCCTTGATTTTGACAGTTATCTTTTACTTAAACGGGGTCATTAGTTTAAAGCAGCATAAAGTGCTACTCATGTCATGCTGCAGTAGTTCTGAAACTCATTCTGAACACCACTTAGTCATATTAAGCCCCAAGTCTGTGCACTACAGCAGCATTTTGTGTCTGATCACATAAAACAATCATCTGTACTCCTCTCTAATCTTTCCCACTCCATAGAATACTCATCTTGTTATTGTCAGTATGCTTAATTGTCTCTTCAGACATCTATTGCAACATTAGGAAGAATGTTCCCTCTGAAAGTGTATTCGGAGGCACAGTCAGACGAACACGAGCTGACATTTTCTCATTTGAAAATTACACCACATTACACAATGCAATTAATTGGCAGCAGGATTGGGAGTAATCTGGGAGTTTGCCGCAGACTTTAAATCACAAGCACTTAGGAGAAGGTGTGTTCATTGCCACCACATGTGCTGAGTTTATGTCTGTTTTACAACGTTGCCTGTAATTGTTTCAAAACCACATATAGCTAGATAGTCAAATTCTTGTGTTAAAGCCATTTACCAAAGTGCTCTTGAGCTAGTTTTTGAGATTAGTCAAAAATATGTGTGTCTGTGGTTTGTGCTTGTTTACGTTGCAGTATGTTGTTCAAGTCCTTGCGAGGAATTACAGAGATGTTAGGAGAAATAAACCGGAGAAAGAGAGAACAGTATTTGGTAGGGCAGTGCTTGGTCGCTGGCCGACTTTCTGGCTGGCTGGCAGGGAAGCTCGTCTGGTATGGGGGTGTGTGGTTTTGGGACAGATGTAATTTAGCAGGCGGTTCTGGATGCCCACCATTCTGCAGGCGTCGAACCCAATGCAGAACCAAACACAGAAGCTGTGCATGAACAGGGATCAGTCACAGACAGGCGGTTAACAGATCCTTACAATCTGTTTATCAAGTGTTTTTATTGAAAAGCTCTGCAGACATTGTTAAAAAGAAAATTTAAAAAATCTCACGCAATCCCCTACTGGCTGGCCACCATGAGCCACTGCTGGACCGAGACTCGTGCATGCTCTCGCACACAAGAACACCCACATAAGAAAACACACACTCCTGGTATGCATGAGAACACAGTATACCTCTGCTAAGTGGTTATGCAGGGTGTCTTGAAAACACTCAAACTCGTTAACTTTCCCCCCGTTTTCACATAAAATCATTCCATTCGAAACAAGACATAACAAAACCCAGGGTCTGAAAGAGGAGAGGAGCTAATGATGAATCAAAGCCTCTCTCAGTAAACACGAGCTGCATCCAAAGTTACAGTGAAAAAGCTTCGTCTGGCAGGCCGAGTGACGCTTTATATAAAACAGATTTAACTGGGGGAAAAAAATCACGACACACATTACAGTCACAGATCCAAAAATACACAAAGAAAGAAACAGCAGAACAGAAAAATAACATTAATAATGAGGAAAGAGGGGACACTTGTGGGTAAAACGGCATGACCAACTCCATTGTGCAACTTTGCCGTTCTCACTTACAGACAACTGTTGTAGTTATGTGTAGTTCTTTAGCACTTCTGTTTGACTGTTTTGCATCTCACTGTTGTTTTGTGTCGCTTTGTGGTTGTTTTGTCACTATTTTTATTTATTTTTTGTATGGAAGTGCATTGCATTCACCAAATAAAAGTTGGGCATAAAGGAGCCTTATCTTTTAATCTTGACTCCCATTGTTCATATTTACGACTTACTTTGAGTAAAGTTCTTGCAGTTATGAAATTCAGTTGAAATGAAATCTCTGAGTAATTAATAGGACCTTAAATATAAATTTTGTTTATTTCTCAACAAGTATTGAGAAAATATCGAATTAAATGTTATGAAGTCCAGTGTTTGTCATGGATTCACTGAATTATATGGAGATATGAAACTTCTGGCTCTGAACAGTGAAGCCATTGAGAGTGTCATAAAACTGCATTCTTCCTAACGGCCAGCAGAGGGAGACTCTTGAACCTGCAAAAAGAAATCTTACTGTATAGAAATCTATGACAAAATGAACTACTTCTCCCTTGATTTTTTTTTCTCAATAAGCATTTACCTAATAGGTTTATAGTCTCAATCACTAGTTTCAACACTTTCTGAATGTAGTACAGTGCTCATTGTGTACATTACGGTCATATATAGAGGAAAATAGTTGAGAAAGTTGGTTATGTTTCAGGATGGGCAACCTCGTGCAACCGCTGTGCCTCGTGACCCAAGTTCTTAGTCGGAGCCACCTGTCGATTGTTACATCCCGTTTTAAAAGAGCAAGACGCCGACAGCCAAATACAACATTTGGTTTGAGCAAGCTGACTGGTAAAGAGTTGTGCAAAATGCCTGCAATAAGTTATTTCTGCTAAAGAGGAGAATACTAGTTTGCTAAGACACTTACTTTTATCATGAATACATGACTGAAGAAGCTAATTCTCCTCCTGGTGACATTCAAATACACCATCTTTATCTGTTTGAAAGTTTTGTTGATATATGTCAAGGCAACAGTTTCCAGAAGTTGCTTTTTAACTTGACCCTTGGAATGGAACTATTAGTCTGTTGTACATTATCTCAAAATTATGAGAAAGTCAGAGATATTTTTGTAGGCCAACCGTACTCTTTTGGTGCTGTTGGTTGAAAAACTGCACCTGAATGTCAGGATTTTCCAAACAAGGAGATGAAAAGAGGCTGTCCAAAGATTCTTGTCACAGCAAAATTTCCTGGACAGATACTGCAAAAGTGCAGCAACACACAAAGTACCTTAGGAAACAACCAGAGAAATCTTAAAATGTAGTTTCTACTTTCATTGGTACACTATAGTACTGTCTGACTGAAACTATGTTTGCTAAGTGTATTGAGTTTTTTCTGAAGTGCTATTATGTTGGTGTACATGTTGGCAAGTGGACACAAAAAAAAAAAAAACAGAGACAGACATCACACTTTCCCACTTTCACAGACTCTCACACATCTGTCTCCAAACCACCTGGTAATCCGAAACTTGCGAGTCATCAACTTTCTCGAACATGTGTTGGATGCCACTTAAACAGATCCACTAATCTGTGAAGGCTTCGGGCAGCCAAAGCAGACTCAACAGCTTCCAAACCCAAGCCTAGCAGCATCTCAAGTGGCCCTCCTCAGACAAGCAGAAGAGACACAGACAACCCTGCTGAGAGCAAGCCAAGCACACACTTCCCTAACTGCTCCGTCTCCCACTAATGAAATCAACAGCGCCGGGGAGGTGAGCTCGAAGGTGTTCTGCCTCCATTCCCCTTTAAGCTGTACATGTGTGGATCCAGACTACCAGACATTTCCTAAACCACGTGCCACAGAGCGATTATAGGTACACCGAGTGTGAGGATTCGGTGTCATGGAGGGAAGAGGAGGCGGTTGTTTTTGTGGTGAACATTTGAGCCGCTCCTTGAGTGGAGGAATCATCACCTCGACATCATGTACTCTGTAATGCCAGCTTTCACGAAAACACCAAATGGTTCAACAACAACCCAAAGACCATGATGGTTAAATAGTTTGGTTACAACCACAGGCCTCAAAGAGAATTGCACTTAAAACCTGACCAGATATTTTAGCTGATTCATCCAATTTTGACAAACCTTAGCCACAACTACGGCCATAACCCCTCCTAACTCCAACCATGAACCCACATGGCTTGTCAGCTGTTATTTAACCGCAGCCGTCTTCCTTTACCAAACTCCCTGCTTGGGAATTCAGCAAGAAAATGCTGGGAACCTTTACAGGAGAGAATGAATTTCAAGCACCGGAGAGGAAGAAAGACAGACTTTTAGAATTCAGGTTAAACATTTGTGGTTTGTTATTCTGTCTGTAGTCTAGACATATGAGTATTAACGGATTTTACAGATTTGTAGTAAAAAAAAAAAAAGACAAGCACCTGTAGATGTCAAGGAAACTCTTCAAACACAGACAAACGGGCCAAAATGTTATGAATGCCATTTACCATTAACCTGTGTGCATGTTGGTTTATAAGTGATTGAGGGGTAGACGGAGGAGAAAGTGAACACAGCCGTTACACAACTCTTACTGAGGACAAGGGTGTGTGTGTGTGTGTGTTAAGGCTTGCAGAAA